TAGAAATATTTTCTTTGAGGTAAGCCAGCCAAAATTTCAGTGTTCCTGGAAAAGTTATCAAGTTGCTTAAATGTTTGTATGCTTAACTATATTTATCAGAACAAAGTTCATTTTCCAACAAAATGAAACTAAAGCCACCTTTTAACTCTCATTCTAATAACTTTCTTCTCCCTTAAATGCTGCCGCTTGTTTTTCAAAACCTCTTATTCTCCTCTCCTGCCAAAAAGCCTCTTGGATTGAGTTCCCACCAGTTCTTAAACCCACCAGTAAGCCACCGGTTCTTAAAACATAATACAAGTGGAGATCACTGGGAAAAGATGGCAAATGGAACACAGGTATATAATTTCACTAACTCTGAAAACCTTAGCAAAACTACACAAAAGTTTTGGGTTTTTTTTTTTTTTTTTACACAAAAGCTAGAGGTATACTGGGCACACATTCCTGCTGGATGCCAAATGGCCAAGTGTTAAAAATCAATATTCAGCTGACAGCATACGTCACCATTATGTAATGAACTTCTGGGTTACTAGAACAAGTGTAAAATGTAGTCAAATGTTTAAAATTGTATTACCATTTTACTATTAATTTTTAAAAAAATAATTTCATAGCACTGAGAGCTGTGAGATTGATCCTGTGGTCACTATACTTCATATTTGCGATTCTATATAGATGCTCACTTTCAAACGAAGCCAGTAGAAAATCAAGATTGTTTCTGCCTAGCTTCGCCAGTCTAGATACTGCTGAGAATGATGGTGCTACCAGATTACTAGGTTCTCTTTCTTCTCAAATAATAATTGATAAAAGACGTATCTGCTCTTTAATTTCGAGGTTTGAAGATTTGGTTGTTAGCGGTGATGGAATTTCCTTGAAATAATTCCATAAACTCAAGTTTTTTACACTTCTTGATGATGATGCTTTCTAAATATTTTCAGATGAGTCTAAAACGGTTGCCCTACCTTATATTTTTTTATTTTCATACTTTTACACATACTTACTGTTTCATATGATCACTTGAGAAAAATCTGTCTTTAAATCTTGAATCTAAAAGTGTAACAATAGAGGGGCTGGCCCGGTGGCCAAGTGGTTAAGTTCGCGCACTCCGCTGCAGGCAGCCCAGTGTTTCGTTGGTTCGAATCCTGGACGCGGACATGGCACTGCTCATCAAACCACGCTGAGGCAGTGTCCCACATACCACAACTAGAAGTACCCACAACGAAGAATATACAACTATGTACCGGGGGGCTTTGGGGAGAAAAAGGAAAAAATAAAAAAATAAAAGCGTAACAATAGAGCAATGTAACTGGCTTCCAAGACACCAAAAAAGTAATGAACTTCCATCTATATCTCAGCTTTTATTGCATCCATGCTGATTTCAGGATCTTCTCAAGAGTAGAATGATAGGACTTTTATAGCAGCTATTATGTAAGAAATACTTGTATGCTCCAAGGTACATCCATTTGGTTACTTAAGATGGTTCCTGTAAAAGAACTGCTTTCTCTGTCACCACTGGTTATTAGACTTGTTATTGCTACTTTCGGAGTCCAATATTAAGGCTATTTTGTTCAAGAAACTGTTTTTAATATATAACTTCTCTTCCATCTTGTTTTAATATCTTGAAGAAGTACATTACAAGGCAGTGTCAAAATCTCTTCTATGTTATGCAATTTTCCTTAGGCCAATAGAAGTTTTCACTCCTGGATTCTAGAATCAGTAGTACTCTAAATCTGGTAAGAGAGGCCCCAGCTCTGAGACCCATGACTTAGAGGGCCTCACTATGGCCCTCCTTTAGCTATGCCCCAGACTCAGGATGAGAAGTGCATAGGGCCCAGGTGGTGTGCCCACTCAAAGCCTATGGATCATCCCCTTGTAGGAGACGCTCCAGATACCTAGGACCATAAAGTTCTCTAACCAAATGGCCTGGAACCCAATTCCAGGGCCTCTTCCTAAACTCAATCCTCCTGAAGGCAGACCATGCCACAACTGGGTGCACGCCCACCCCAAGGAGTGCTCAAAGGGTGGCTGTTTGCTAGGGGTATAGATGGAGCTTGGACATGGGGCCTGAGGTATGTATGAGGTCTTTCAAATTGCAGGACATAGAGCCAAGGGTGGGGGAAAAAGGGGGGCGGGCCTCAGACCAGAAGCTAGCTCTCCACAACACCATGTTCCAAAACAGAACTTAAGAAGTCCAAGAAGTCATAATTTGATTTTGGACTTCCAGATCTTCATAAGGATATATCTGCCAAGGTGGAAAGACAGAGATTTTTGTTAGGTTTGTAAGCTTGTTGTATAATTTTAAACGATGTAGGCATATGTTACCTGCTCGTATTCCTGGCCCAGGCCCAACTGTTAAAGTGAACTTGCTTAGAATGCTTATAAACATTTGACATTATGACACTGACATCATTACACTGATTAAGATACAACAGTAATCTGGAAGAATCTTTTCCCAGATTTTGATATGGCTGACTCACTTTTATTATTCACGTGCCAGCCTACACATCACCTCTCAGAGAAGTCTTCTCTAACCACTAATATAAAGTAGCCCTCATGAACCACCCTTCATCACATTATCCTGTTTCATTTTCTTCATGGCCCTTATCAATATCTGAAATTATTTTTGTAAATTCCACCACAGTGGGGACCTTGCCTGCTTTGCTATTCATTTATAGACTAGTGGATTCTTATTTGATGCCATGGGTTATAATCTGTAACTATCATTTATTTTGTGGCTCAGATTGTCCCAGATCTGGCTACTATGTTACACCGTATCCTCTTGTCATGGCCCCATCTTTTTTTTTTTTTTTTTTCAGCATTTCTTTACATTCTGGCACCACAATATGTTCCAGGGTCATCTTACACTTTTATGCTCCAGACCAAGGAGCCCTAATTTCTATTATTCTCCAGTCTCTTTAATCTTCAATAATTACAATGATTACATGCAAAATTATAGACTAGCCTACAGTGAATTTACCAAAGTCATTCTACTTTATGAGATTTGGCTCCACCTTAGTGACTAGCGGATATCCCCAGACACCATCTCCAGCTCACCAACCAAGTACAGAGATAAGCAATAGGACTATATCTTTAAATAATAATTTTTTAAAATAATGAATATCAAAAGTTTAAAAATATTAAATACCAAAAACGTTGTGTTTTTGGTGCTAAGACCAAAACCTCAGGAGAGGATCCTTACAATGTAGAGGAGAAGACTATTAGGTTTTTGTTACTGCTGTTATTTATTGGTTTTATAAACTGACAGAGTTATCCTGTGCAGGTAAAAGGGAAAGTTCTAGAATGTGATTTATTCCATTATATATATACTAGCTCTGTGTCCTCAGGAAAGTTACTCAACTGTTCTAAACCTGTTTCTCCTCAACAGGAATAATTGGGCTTATCTCATAGTGTTGTGATAAGATATCCTTATAAAGCAGTTAGCACAGGCCTGGCACATGATGAGAGCTCATGAATTTGCAATGTTTATTATCATCCTGGGCAGAGTATGGCTATATGACCTTTTATATGAAGAGGCTTAGAAAGTTCCATAGGGCACATGTAGCATTTTCTCTTAATTGAGCAAGCCCATAATGTTACTAAAACATTATTTAATGCATTTCTTTTCCAAACATCTGCTTTACTCCAGAAACTTTAGGGAACTCACAGTTGCCCCGGGGGGGAAAATGGGGAGAGGGCAGGAGGAGGAGAGAGCGCTCTTGTCAACAACACATTTGCTCAACTTTCACGTTTAATTACCTTCAGATACACAAATTTTTTTTTCCTAGTTCACAGGTGGATTCATTAGCTGTAGCTTCTTTAAAGAAAACATAGACCAATGGCACTGCAATTAGTAATACCCTCTGACGGCTTAGTTAATCATTGGCTAACATTCTGTGGGCAGAAGGTTCATCAAAGTGAATCTCACTAGCTACATGGTTTTAACCATAACTTGGTTCCACGATGGCTAAACCTCCAAAGAAGGTTGTAGTGAGAAAACAATGTCCTTCTGGGCTTCCAAAAATAACTCAGAATCCTCCTAGTGGCAGTATTTTCAAAAATGTTTAAGCTTTCTGGCTGACAATTCAGTAATATATAGTTAAAGCCTTAAAAGTATGCATTTTTTTTCGAACGGTAATTACAATCCTAGAATTTGCCTGAAAGAAAGAAGAATGCAAAACTGTATGTACATAACAGCAAAACATTAGAAAGAAACTATATTTCCAATATCCATCATGAAAATACTGCCAAGTATGTATCTACATTATGATATACCTAACTATATATAGGTAGAGATATCCAACATACTCTACCGAACTGTGGTAGAGATATACAACGGAAAAGTACATAGCCAATAAAAATAAAGACATAAGTCTACCTTTATTGATGTGGAAAGAAGATTATGATGTATCTTCAAATGAATATCACAGATTATAAAAGAGACTACATATGATTCCAGTTCTTTATTAGAATATATACTATGTATGTATCTACATTATGATATACCTAACTATGCATAGGTAGAGATATCCAACTATAGAAGGATCTATATGAAAATATTAATAGTGTTTATGTCTAGGAGAAGAATTGGGGGTAGTTCTAAATTTTCTTCTTTACACTTTTTTCCCTGTTCTTCAGTTTTCACAATAAGCATGTATTACTTTTACAATCACAAAAAGTTTAAATACCAACCAACCATTGAACCATAAAGAATCTCAATATCTGACTTGTCCCACGTCTTTAAGCACTGATAATAATTGCCAGAATGCCCTGGACTAAAAGGAGACAAGTACTATTTCTTTTGGAGAGAAAGAAGGGCCTATAATTCTCAGATTAGACAGCCCAGAGAACTTTCAGGGTATGCTGTCAGGCATAACTACTTAGCATAACCCTGAGGTCCAGGAATTTATCAGATAGACAGAGGTAAAAATTTTTCCTGATACAAGTTCTCTTTAATAGAGAGAAACAGTATAAGTAATAGATATGCTTTGAAGTAGGAAAAAACTTACAGCAGTGGATAATCTGGACGCTAATGTCATTTCCAAGTTCCCTTTGAGACCAAGAAGCGCAGGAACTAAAATGAAAACTTCTGTTACTTTTTTGAACACCTCCCAGTGCTGTAAGAAAAAAAAAAAATAGAATTTTCTGGCACTCTTTAAAAAACACTTTAGAACAAAGACATTTCTAAAACTCTCAGCCTTTTTTCCAATGTTGCATTTACATTTTGAATGACTACACAGGTCATTTAATCAGTGAACATTTAGCTTAACCCATTCTCCAGAGCTCTGAAACCCTAAGTTACTTTAGAAAATTTAGTTAGAGTGGGGAGTGATAGCTGATTCAGTCACTACATTCCAAAATACATCTAGCTTGCTACACAACTCTGATGCTCTTCAGTTGTACTTTATCCCTTTATGATGACAAGAGTCAGCGTAACTAGTAGTTAACCCCAAAGACTTAAGAATCAGATAACCTGGATTTGAATCTTGGTTCCAACACTAATTATAACAACCCCATAGGAAAATTACAGTAATATTATTATTTAATTCACAAACGAAGAAATTAAGATTCAGAGCCGTTAAATGATTTTCCTAAGATCAAAGGATGGGACCTAGAATTGACTTGAGAAGTTCTGAGTCATCCCACGTTCTGGTTCCCATTTTAGGGTGTGAGGCAAGAGGCTGCAGAGCAGAGAATCATAAAAAGAGCACTAAGTTGGAATTAAGAGAATTTGTGATTCTAGGCCTGGATCTTTCATAACACGGCTGCACGATCCTGGATGAGTTACGTGTCTTTCTGATCTCAATTTCTTCATGAAATGATGATACTATCTGTCCTGTCTAGCCCTGGGGAAATACCACGATAATGAAAATGAGGGATATTAAAGTACTTTATAACCTGAAAAGACCATATGACTTAATGACACAAGGTGCTATTTTACAAGTGCTATTAAGAGGGGACTGTCCTAGTAAAAGACTTTACGGACTAAGGATATTACTTCATGCCAAAAAATATCAAAAACACAGTCTTACCATTAATACCAAGACAGGTAAGAAAAGTAAAACTTAAATCCGTCAGATAAATGAGAGAAAAATTCAATTTGTCCCCAAAAGTTTCCCTAGGTGCTGTTCCAAATAGTTGTAGAACCAAGGTGTTCAGGAAATTTTCATCAGATCAGTCTTTGGTAAAATTCTGTTTCAAAGGATTCGTAAGAGATTCACGAGGGTTCAAGCTAATGGAGGATCAGCCTAAAAAAGCACTGGGGGGGTCCAGTCGCATCCCAGATTCCTTAACCTGTCAAACTAACAAACAAACAATTGTGTCCATGTTTTATGACGGGATAAGAATTCTGCTGTGCTAGTGAGATACGCACCTTTCAGAGATGACGGTGGTGGTGACGATAATGATGATGATGAATAATGACAGATAATAATAATAAATATTAACAATATTCAAAATTCATTGATTGCTTGCTAGGTGCCAGGCACTATTCTTTAGGCTTAGTCATTCAATCTCCACACAAACTTATGAGACAGGAATCATTTTTATCAGATCAGACGTAATTCAGGAATACATTTCACCTAGGTCATAATTTTAAGATACCCACCTATATGATTTAATTTTAGAAACCCCAGAATACTATGCAAATGTCTCTATCAGTCACATGTCATCACATTTTAGGTTTGTTGGGATGCACTCCTTGGGGTTACTAACACCCTTTCCAAGTTCAATTCAAATCAAATACTCCTGTGAAAATTACTATGAAATTACTAACACCATAGCATTGATATAACAATAACTATTAATTATTGATTTCCTATCTCCTGCCAAATAAATTCCACATTCTTTTCTCTACACCTGCAGAGGTGTGCTTATAGAAATTCTCAAATTTTCTCAGTTCATAGCACCCTTACTGTCTCAGAAATGTTTTCAGGGCACCCTTAGGCCAAAAGAAATATCTAACAGTCTTATTAAGTAGCTAGGTCCAAACAACTTAATAAGTATTTATTTCCTAACAATTTAGTGGCCATTTGAAGAAACAACACAAATAAATTGAAAGAAAGAATAATAATTTTATGTCACATAACCAGAATTAGTTACTAATGGGATGTGTGTACCTGTTGGGCACTACACATCTCTAAACTTGGAACTGGAAACTGCCACTTTCATTTCTTATTCTATATTGGTTTTTGTGTGACACTTGCCTTTTATCATAGCACCGCTGAAAAACTAGTTTTGAAAGATATGTCATCAAGACGAATGGAGTGTAATCTAATGTTGAATCACCTTGAGCTGGGAGTCTGTAGAGTATCCAAGAGATGTCATTGTTTTTCCCTTAAAAATTTAAAATATCCCACAGCAACCCTAGGTTGTCCAAACACACAGTCTGGGAAATATGATAGGGAGAAGCCGTACGTTAGTCAAAGGGAAGGGCTCTGGAGTCAAGATTACCTGGGTTGAAATTGCGACTCTGCTACTTTTACTGTGTGACTTGGGCAAAACTATGCTTTACTTTCTTCATCTAAAATAGGGACATAATTTTGTCTCGATCACATATGGTTGTGCTCAGGACTGTGCCTATACATAGTAATGAGTAACAATATCGAGTGTTTATTAGCTATAACGTCAAGATATATTATCAGTGAATTTTCCTTTCGGGAGGAGGTAATTCAAAACAAAGTCCATCAAGAGGATGCTGAGGCAGCTAGTGCCCCAAATAAATTTCACCTACTTACAAATTTTGCCATGACACAGACATGTCCTCTGAGGTGATGGAGAGTATTATGAACTGCTGAACTTCTCCACAAGAACCTGCCCTAAAGGAAATCAACTTCTAATCTTACCTAATTCTGGACTTCTGTCAATATCCAGAATCTTAAGCAAGCACCCACACATCAAACGTAATGTCAGATTGCTTACACATGGACTACGGAGACTCAAAACCTAAAAATCTATTAACGTCCAAAAGGAAAAACCAAAATGAAACTTAAAAAAACCCCAAGAATAATAAAATAAGTTGAGGAACACATCCATAGAGTCCTAACTTAAACAGAAAAAGTTTTTAAAAATCTGGTTGGTAAAAAATGTTTACTCAATTTTAAGAAACATACATACCCCAAATTTGGAGAAGTTTTGTTTCTCTTTTTAAAAACTAAACCCAGTCACTTTTAGACATATGATAAAATGACCAACCTCATTCATAATTACAGAAATGCAAATTAAAAGGTGATAAATTTTCACCTACGAGATTGGTAAAGATCAAAAAGTTGGATAATACTCTGTTGGTAAGCATATAAGGAAACAGGAACTCTACTATACTATTGGTGAGAATGTAAAGCTTTAACTTCTTTCGGGGAATTTGGCAATATCTATCAAATGTAAAATGCACATAATTTTTAACTCAGAACTCTACTTTAAGGGATTTATCCTACAAATAAACTTGCAAATGAGTTCAAATACACACATATATAATGAGTTTACTTCATCATTGTTCCTAACAGCAAAAGATTTGAGGCAATTTAAATCCCCTTCGTTAAGTAACTCGGTAGAAAAATAATGATACATTCTTGCTACAGAACATTATGTAGCTGGAGAAGAATGTGGTAAATCTGTGTGCTCCTATATAGCAGCTCCAAGATAAATTAAGAAGAGCAAAGTGAAGAGCAGCATTGTAGGGTTTTTTTGTGTTTTTTAGTGAATATATATATATAATATGTATATTTTAGCATATATATGCATATACTTGCATTTAACATCTATTCAAGGAGACAAACAGTAACAGTAATTTCTAAGGAAGGGAATAGGGCAAGGGCACGTACCAGAGGAGAGAGACTTCCTTCTCCATCATATATTCTTTCATACAGCTTAAATATGCTTTACCAGATACATATATTACTATTTTCATTAAACTTTTTATTTTGCAATAATTGTAGATTCACATGCAGTTATAAAAATAATACACAGAGATCCCATGTACCCTTTACCAGCTTCCCCCAATGGTAACATCTTGCAAAACTATATGACAATATCACAACCAGGATATTGACATTGATACAGCCAAGATACAGAACATTTCCATCACCACAAGGATCCCTCCCGTCACCTTTTTATAGCCTCATCCACATCTCTCCACTCCCAACCGTTTCTTAATCCCTGGCAATCACTCATCTGTTCTCCATTTCTATAATTTTGTCAACTGAAGAATGTTATATAAGTGAAGTAATATATTATTTTTCATGTTTATTTGCCATCCGTACACACTCTTTGAAATGCCTCTATATGTCTTTTGCCAATTTTCTAATCGTTTTTTTTTCTGTTGAGTTTTGAGAGCTCCATATATATTCTAGTCTTTTGACAGATATGTGGTTTGCAAATATCTTCTTTCACTCTGTAGCTTGGCTTTTTTCATCCTTTTAACAAGGTCATTCACAGGACAAAATTTTTATTTGATAAAGTCCAATTTACCCATTTTTTCTTTTATGAATCACGTTTTTGGTGTCAAATCTAAGAAATCTTCTGCCTAGCTCTAGCTCCTGAAGATTTTCCATGTTTTCCTAAAAGTTGTATAGTTTTATGTTTTATATTTTGTGTGATCCATGTTGAGTTTATTTTTCTTTAAAGTGTGAGGCTTAGATTGAGATTTTTTTTTTTTTTTTTTGGCCTATGGATGTCTAATTGCTGCAGTACCACTTGCCAAAAGGGCTATTTTTTCCTCCATTGAATTCCTTTTACATCTCTGTCAGAAATTAGTTGGACGTATTTGTGTGGGTTTACATCTGGGCTGTCTGTTCTGTTGCACAGATCTATGTGTCTATCCCTCTGCCAACACCACACAGTCTTGATAACTGCGGTCATTTTAATAATCTTAAAATCAGGGAGACTGATCCCTCCCACTGTCTGTTTTCAAAATTGTTAAAGCTATTCTATTATTTGCATACTTACTAATTGCATATAAATTTTAGAATATTAATTATATCTACAAAAAACCTTGCTAGGATTTAAAAAGTTCTGTTAAGCCTGTATATCAATTTGGGGAGAACTGATACCTTTATTATGTTGAATTTTCCAGGCCATGAATATAGCACTTCTCTCCATTTATTTAGATCTTCCTTGATTA